TGCTGCAATAACAAGGAATCCACCTCATCTTAGTCGCTTAACACAATAAAGGCATTGATGTATGTCTCCTTGCTCACATCACGGTCCAGTGTTGTTTGGGTGGCTCTAAGCTGTACTGTAGCTGCACCTAATGAGACATGTAGTGCCCGAGGCTATGGTGGCAGGAAAAGAGATGAATGGCACATAGTAGCACTTAGTGACATTATATAGACCACTACACAAAACTAGCCACATGGTCCTAAATTAGCTGCATGGGAGACTGGGCAGTAGAGGGTAAAATGTAGATATTTTATATGCCTGGATTGTCTGTGCCATACCAGGACCCTCACCCCAGCCTACACTCTGTCCACAGAGTGATCCCAAAGGGAGACCTTCAGGTAGAAATCACCCTGGACAATGAGGGAATCTAAGAACTGCCAAGGGGGCGCTATGCATACATCCCATTCACCTTAGCCTCTCCTCTTCAGTCTATATCCTGGGTCCCCACCATTGAAACCCCTACTAGATCCTTCTCCCATAGTTCAATGGCCTTCCTCAGCAGTCATGCATGCCTGCCCTGTGGGGCGGCCCCCAATCCTGACCCTGCCTGCTATTAGAATCAACCAAATGCCGCACTTGGAACACAGCCCAGGGAAGCGACTGCCACATCTGTCCTTCTGTGTTGTTACTTTGGTTCCAGCCCTGGGAGGCCCTAAGACCAGCTGTGAACTTACATGAGGAATATGACAAGCTACTGGCCAGGCCTCCAAAGGCCACTTGGGATTTGATTTGAGGCCCACACACCCCGTGCTGCTGTTTAATATATGGTGGCTAAGTTCAAGTTCAGAGAGAGGACACAGGAAGCATTCCCACTGTACAAATGTCTTCCAGAACTCCACTGTCCCAACAGAGTTGACACTGGCCACGCTGGCAATTTAAATCTAAGCACAAATTAACTGCAAATAAATTTCCAGTTAGGATGGCTACTACAAAAAGAACAAGTGTTATGCAGATGTGGAAAAGCCAGAACCCTTGTGCACTGTTGGTGGGAATATAAAATGATGCAGTGGCTGAGGAAATCAGTTTGGTGGTTTCTCAAAATGTCAAACGTAGAATTATCACATGATTCAGCATTTCCACTTTAGGGTATAGACCCCAAAGAATGGAAAACAGGACCTTGAACAGATATTCATACAGCCATGTCTGCAGCATTACTCACTATAGCCAAAAGGTGGATGCCACCCAACTGTCCATCAGTGGAGGGATGGATAGATAAAATATGGTCCATACATTCAATTTAATATTATTCAACTTTAAAAAGTAASGAAATTCTGGCACATGTTCCGACATGGATGTCCTTGAGGATATCATGCTACATGAATAAGCCAGTCAGAAAACAACAAATATGGCAAGATTTCACTTACATGATGKACCTAGAGTGGTCAAATTCAGACAGACAGAGAGTAGAGCAGTGGTTGCCAGGAGCCGAGGGGAGGAAGAGGAGATGGGTAGTTAGTGTGCTATGGATTGGACAGGAGGCCCCTCAAAATCTCATGTGTTAGTTAGTCAATGCAGGAATGCTCAGAGATGAAATGATTACATTATGAGAGCTGTAATTTCATCAATGGATTAATCCATTTAATGGATTTATAATGAACGGACTCCAGGATGGTAAGTGTAGGCAGATGGGGTGCACTTGGAAGAAGCAGATCATTGGGGAGCAGGTATGCCCTTGGGGATTATATCTTGTCCCTGGCTCCTTAAACCTGTCTCCCTTTCTCTCTCTCTGCTTCCTGACTGCCATCACCTGAGCAATTTCCTCTGCCATGCCCTCTGCCATGGTGTTCTGCCTCTCCACAGCAATGGAGTTGGCCCACCATGGACTCAGACCTCTAAACCATGAGCCCCCAATAAACTTTTCCTCTTCTAAGTTATTCTTGTCAGGTATTTTAATCACAGTGACAATAAGCTGACTAACACAAATGGATACAGAGTCTCTGTTCTATAAGATGAAAAGAGCTCTGGGGATGGATGGTGGTAAGAGATGCGCAACAATGTAATGCACTTAACACCACTGAACCTTAAAAATGGTGAAGATGATGCCTGTGTGGATATTTTATCACAATCAAAATTTAAAAATTAAAATTATGTTGGAAACATAATTTAAATTAAATTCACTTTTTCATTTGTACCAGCCACATTTCAAGTGCTCAAGAGCCAGTGTGGCCAGTGGCTATCACACTRGACAGGACAGAATGAGAGCACTTATGTCACTACAGAAACCTCTTTGAGACAACAATGTTCTACAAGGTCATCCTTTTCTCAAATAGTTATCCTTCTTCAATGCCCTTCCTCCCTAAGGTCACCAAAGGGTCCTGCATGCTTTAAATCAGGCCCAAGACCACCCAAGGGTCCCACTTGTCTTATATCCTCTCTCTTCCCTGGTGTGCACTCGCTCTCAATGAGGACACAGGGTATTAATTGTCAGGGCAACGCCATGCTCCCAGCTGATCCGAACCTTATCTCCCTTATCCACACTGTGCTCTTGCTGTGGCAGGTGGAGCTCAGCTCAGAATAGAAAAAAACTCCCCCCTGCCCCCCAGAGCCCCAGGCCTCTCTACCATGCCCCTGTTTCTCTGAAGGACTCACTGCTGTGCCTAGGACAAGTACACATTCAATGAACAGTTGCTGAATAAATAAATGCACATCTGTGTGAAACAGAAAAAAGATAAGCTCCTACTCCCATTTCTTAACTTCTTGGATTTAGCTCCAAAAATCCTTTTTTTTTGTTGTTCATTATGATAAAGCTCATTTTGATTTAATAATTTTTATATTTCTCATGATCCTCTAAAAACTCTGGCCCATTATCCAAAACAGAGGTCCAGTTGGATCATAGGAGTGTGAATAAATACACTGACATTCACTGCAAAAAGAGAAAGTTTTAGACTTCCTCCAACCAGCTCTCTATGACACAAGAACACTCCCTACCAGGGAAAAGGAAGATGTGCTTCATTATGTCTCAGGAAAAACTCACCCTGGATACCCCCATCTTCAGGCAGAGTCCCTGGTGGACTTCTTAAGAATGGTTCTTTGTGTGCTGTTATTAAATCAAATATTGTTGCTGTCACGTTAGCAAAACGCATTTTACCTAGAGACCGAAAAACATGTCACCTTATTTACAGACTAAAAAAACACATCCATCTCCCTTTCTCATTACATCCTCACTACAATGCCCAAGATGGAAATTACTGGCCCATTTTAAAGATGAAAAAACCAAGGCTTGGAGAACTGGGGCAGCATTCCCAATGACACACCTGGAAAAGGTAGGGCCAAGACTCTATGCCAAGTACAGTCCTTTTTCCCACTGGGTGGGAAGGCAGTAGAATCCCTTGAGGAAGAACACATATACTGAACACAAAGATTTTTTATCTACCAGTCTTATGGACTCATGGTGAAGATATCCTAACATATTGCATAATAAGTACCTAGAACAGGCTCGCACACAGCCACAAACTGGAGCTAATAATTGGAGTAATTATTGTTATTATTATTACATTAAAGGAACTTTTCAAAATTAATATAAGATTAAGGGCACTCTAAAAAATAAAATGCACTGTACAAATACAGAGGACTTTAGCACCGCTTTGCAGTTGAGAAGATTGAGGGCTGGTTGTCAATTGCTCATCGAAGGCAGGAGAGGAGGGAGGTGAACACGTGGGCAAAAGTCTCTCCCTCCAAGGTTCAGCTCACTCACGTCCTCCCTGATGCATCTTTCATCAACACCTTGGGGACACTGTGCCAACTGGGTTCCCAAAGGTTCACCACCTGGCCCTAGAAAGCAGAGCTAAGCAGTAGGCCCCGAGAAGATCCCTCTGCCCTTTACTGCCTGCTTGGGCTAGACTTGTATTAGATCTCATTCATGATAACATTTAGGCTACTTTAGAACTCCCCATCCGCCCAGGCTTCCACCCSACCAACCACCAATCACCCTGTTCCGCACCAACACTCTACCCTTTCAACTCCTGTTCAAAGCCATGCCCCATCCTCCCTCCCATCCCTAGTCTCTTAGCAGTGTTCAGAAGAGCCAGCCCCAGTGAGAGGGAGAGCTGAAAAGCTTAACCCAGCTTCCCCAGAGCCTGCAGTTTGAAGTCTGGGTGCCCCATGTCCCCACAGTAGCTTGATCAGCACCAAGCAGAGAGAGGAAAGGTTTCCACACCTGCATACTGATCAACATCTTGTACCTCCTAAAGGACATGAGGCATGGAATGTGTGGGGGTGACTCTGTAACCTCAACAATAAACACACAAGAGGCAGGTACTGAGAAGACTTATGTGACACCCCTATTAAATAGCCCAGAGTCACAGGAAGAAAGTGATTCCCTCTTTAACCTTCAGTTCTTCTGACTGCTTCAAGGAGGAGCCTCTGATCAGTGTCTGTCTGTCTGTCCTCCTATCTAACACCACTCATCTCCATTTTTGGCAGAAAGTGGGCCAAAGCTCTGTCTTGAGGGCCGGCCGAATGCAGAACTATCTAGCTGGCATTGAATAGGTCATTTTGGATTTTACCTTAAGATTATTTCTTAGATGAAGTGAGATTTCTTTTTAAAATAATTTTAAATTTTAAAAATGGCAATCATTAAAATTTTTTTTTATAAAAGATACACAAATGATTGGAGTGTGGGAAAAACTGCTTAAGCTTGTCATCAGCCTTGCCAAGTCAGAATCATCCCTACCTGCGGACAAGAAGCCTGAGATGCAGGGAGGTGGATGGGATGCTCAACTTTTCTCACCTGTGGACCCAGAAAGCCTCCCTGTTGAGGATGGTCCTTGCTTTCAGCTTCAAGTGGAAAAAACTTAACAGTCTGGCACAGAAAGTTGAGCAGACTCTTCTTCAGGCGCCACCTGCAGTCTTGCCCCGCCCATGATGCCCCCACTCCACGCCCCCATGTCCTTGCTCTGACTCCGGCCTCGCACTAACACACCCGGCCCCACTTACGATGTTCATGAGCCGGCCCCACTTACGATGTTCATGAGCGTCAGCAGGTACTTCTGCACGTGCTCCTTCCCGTGGAATTGAACCACAGAGTCGTCCACACCCAGCAGGACTTCAATGTTGTAGTCGTCATCGGCAGCGTGTCTTCGTGCCCTCCTCCTGGAGCTGTTGACCTGCTCCTCCAAGACTCCCAGCGCTTGGCTGAGGCTATCCAAGTTGCCCAGGGAGGCYCCTACAGGGATAGGACATTATCATCAGCGGCAGGCCGGGCTCACCGGGAACATCACAGCAGGACGAGACTCCACTGGATGCAGCTCAACTCCAGCCAAGTGCCAGCAACATCATCATCATCATCATCAAGGGCATTGTTGCCCCCATTTAGCAGAAGAACAAACTGAGGTCTAGAGAGGGGCTGTAGTGATATGCCAAGCTGGCTCAGACTCAGCCGCACTCAAACCAACCGCCTCAGAGGCTTTAGGGCCAACTCTTTGGCTAGCACCTGGCAGTAACTCCCGCCACAGTGAGGGCCACGGTGTCCTCCTGAGACTATGACAGACTGGGGAGCCCAGGGCTGGCACCCAGCATCTGAGGCCAGCAGTGTCACCTGCACAGCCAGCTCTCTCCACCCACATACACTAACACACGCTCAAAGGGCTGGCCTACTACCCAACGGCTGATGTCCCAGGTGTCCCTGACCTCTGTTATAACTGAGGAAACGTAGGCCTCACCCCAGCAGTATGTGTTCTACCGCATTTCCTCCAGCCTGGCTCCCCTCCAAGAGCTTTCTGCTCAGTCCTCCACTAAAGGGACCAGGTAGATGTCCCCCACCCCACTCTTCAGTCAGCCCCTGGTGCTCAATGAATTGTGCAGGGACCAACACGAGCTCCTCATGATAGCTCCCCACAGCAGGCCCCGACCTCCTGCCCCTAAAGAGTTAGCACCAGGCAATGAGCAACAGCCYGGATGGGGGTAAGGGCCTGAGGGGTCTCAGCTACAGAGTCCAGGACCTGGAGCTCCATCAAGTTCAGGGCCTCAGATGGTGTCCCACTGTCTGCAAAGCTGTGGCTTCTGCTTTTGTTCCCATCTACTTCCCCACTGGGTCTAAATGTGACCAGTGCTCCAGTTCTCAGTCCTCCCCTGCCCTCACCTCTTAGGGTCACAGCCAGACTGACGAGGCCAACCATCAGCATTGATGGCAGCTGCAGACCACACTGTATGCTGCCCACTGAGTCCCCGTGCCCCTGTCTGGGAAGCCCCATCCCTTTCACCCCTGCCCTGCTGCACAGGTCTCTGTCCAAGCCAGGTTGTGCTTCTCAGTGACACTCAGTGATTCCTGCCCTGAGAAGAACCAGAGCCGCAGGTGACATCATCCACACTGAGGGTGATGTCCAGGCCCTAGCTTTAGCTAGAGTGGGTACCAAGAGCCCTGCTCAGCTGTTGACATCCCTGAAACATTGTCTATAAAGAATCTTCCAGAACAACTCTGTCACTTATCCCTATTGCCTCTTATCTACCACATTCCCCAGACAGGTATGGGCACTTCTTCCATGTCAAGGTGGCACAAGACAGGCTCTGGAGGTGGAACCGGGCCTCTCAAGGGAACTTGGCCACTCAGGGAGATATGAGGCAGCCTGGTTTGGGGGCCCACTCCCCCAAATTGGCCCCCAGTATTCATCTCCTCAAAGAGTGCAACAGGCATCTTCAGTACAAATTACTGTCCCCATTTGACAGATGAGGAGACTGACAGAACCCCAGCATGGCTGACTCTCTGCCAGAAGCTCTTTCCTTAAACTCTGCTTCCTGCTTCAGACAAGATGAACTGACTTAGTCAGAGGTACGTCTGCAGCTTGGTTGTGGGCCAGACCAAGAATGAAAAGACAGGAGGTGAGAAGCAAAGGTGCCGGCTTTGACTAGAAAAAGAACAAGTTGGGGCCAGGACTGAGCAGCTGCTGCTTGGGTTCCCATGCCTTCTTGGGTCCTTGGAGTCCCGGCACAATCCACATACATGTGCAGGCACACACCTACATGCACRTACACACACATGTGCACACAATGCAAGCACACACATACATACACACGTTGGTGCTGCCCAGGGCTGTGCCAGGGTCAGGGAAGGGGCTGGGAGCCCTGCAGGCAGTGCCCGTGCAGAGCTCAGTGCTCCACTCAGCTGCCTGGAGATGATTCAGGGCCATCCCTGCTGCTCCCAGAGGAGACGCTGGGGACTTAAACCTGACAGAAGAATTGAGGGATTGCTCCTCTATTTTTATACATTTATTTCTTTGCATTTTCAACGAGCAGGGACAGCTCACCTTCAGAACCACCTTGGGAAACAGAAAGATGGTAATTTCCATAGAAAAAGTCTTTCCCTGGGGAAGAAGCTGGACATTCCCTTCTGCCCCTATCAAGCTAAGGGTCATGGATGGGCAGCCCGTGGGGGCAAAACCAGACCACAGAGGTGCTCATTAAGACCATGTGGTATTTTAAAAATACCTTATTGGGGGAAGGGGGGGGATGCCTTATTTGGTTGACAGTATTTGAAAACTTGGAGATTTCACATTAAAAACAAGATAGAATATCCAGTTTCTCTTGAGGAATTTGGAGATGAAGCCATCCCAGTGTAACCCAGGGCTGTGAACTGAGGACCATGTCTGGAGATAGGACACATAGGGCCACTTACCTGCCACCCCTGATGACCTCCTGGCTCCAAAAGACCTCAGAGTGTGCTCTCCTGATCCTAACCCCTGGGTCACTATATAGTATCCCCTCCAGATATCCCTTAAGGGGGGGGGGCACAGAGCCACCCTCAGGTCAGAGCTGGGCTAAGGCTAGTCTTGAAGCTGCTTCTGTCAAGGAGCATAGTGTCTAACCAAACTGTATGTTATAGGTCCACTCAAAGCTTTTAAAAAAAAAGATGTTTTAGAAATGCCAAGTTCATCTCAAGCATAGTTATTTTTGTCATCATTATTCTCATCATGATCATTTTGGGGGTGCCTTGGACATTATATTCTAGAACACTCTCCTTCCCTCCTTCCCCAGCTCCTGTGGACAAGCCCCAAGGCCCAATGGCAAAGCAGGTAAAGACAGAAAGACAGGACCCCTGAGGTCAGCAGGTGAGAGCAGCAGGCAGGTGAGAGCCYTGCCAGGTAGTCTGGTCCCTGGAAGTCTCAGTCTCATTCAGGACACAGGGAGCAGCCCCAAAGTCAGTAAGGTCTGTTGTGCCCCAGGCCTGGGGGTACATGAGCCTGGTCCAGCTGCCTTCCTGCTCTTCTCTGTCCCCGTGGGACCTGGTAGTCAAGCTCCCCWCAGCAGGCACATTCTGCCTCATCAATCCTGGGTGCCACCTCAACTTTCCCCACATGGGCTTGACCCTAAAGCCCAGGATGCCTGTCTCTCACAGGATTCCTGCTGCAGGGAGCTCTGGCCAGCAGCAAGCTTCTGCACGGTCCTGGATCGGCTTCCTAGTGATCCCCTTGACCTTCACGTTGGCCTTTGGAACCAGCCCACGTGTGCTGGGCTGCCTGCCTCGTCTAAAGACCTCTGCTAGACTTGTTCCTTCAAGGCCAGGTGAAGCAGACTCTTTGCCACTATCTCTGACTTCCCTGGGCGCTCCCATGAACTTGCAGCCTAGGCCTGCTAAGCCACAGTGACCCAGAGCTCASACGGCCCTTTTCTCCATCCTGCATTACTGAGCCAGCTGAATAGTGAGCTGTCAGTCCTGCCCATCTTCTGCTGAGGCGGGGGATACTGCTGCCTTCAGTCTCACTTTTCTGTGCAGCTACCTCCAGAAGGAGAAGTCACTGGTCCTGGTAGGCTGAGTCTCTCCTAAGGGAAGGGTCTGGCACAGTATCATATCTTTCATTTTATTTTAAAAAAATATTTTTTTTAGTTGTTGATGCCTTTATTTTATTTATTTATATGTGCTSCTGAGAATTGAACCCAGTGCCTCCCACATGCTAGGCAAGTGCTCCACCACTGAGCCACAACCCCAGCCCCAGTATCCTATCTTTTAATTGGGTAACTAAAAAGATGTTTAGTTCCTGGCATTTCCTGTGCTTGGAGACACTTCCAGATGGCAGCTGGGGCTCCGTTTGCTCATGTCTTGGGCAAGAGACACACAGCAGGAGGCATATCCAAGAGCCATCCCCAGTTTTAGAGTTTCTAGAATGGAAAAGAAAGGCTCTGTCAAGGAGCCGATCAACAGACCATGGAGAAGATGTGTTGAAGAAAAGCAGGGCTCCTRTCCAGGGAAGCCCAAAGCAAGTGCCACCCAGGGGAATGAGTGGGTCACGGCTGCCAGGCTAATTTATAGCCCCATACAACAAAGGGTACTGCCTGCCCCCCTGAGCTAGTGGGCTGAGGGCTATATCTGTCAGTATCCTGGGAACCTCAGTGTCCAGGTCTCTGGAGCAAGGGCATATGCATAGCCCTTCACAGTGATGAGACTGTCACCTCCAATAGCCATTTGACTGGCACACTAAGGAGGAGGATCCTTATCGTTCTAGTGGTGCTATGGTTAGGATGTGGCTTGTCCCCCAAAGGTTCAGAAACAGGAAGCTTATTCTCAGTAATATTACTGAGATGGTGGAAACTTTAAGGGACTAACTCAAAAGAGGGGGTCAGGTCTCAAGGGACTGGATTAGCTCCCCAGAGAATAGGTTGTTATAAAAGAGTGAGCTTGGACCCTGCTTGTCTCTTGCTTCCTTTCTTGCCATACAGTCTTTCCCACTCACACTTACATGTTCCTGCCATTGTGATGCCAAATGCTATGTTATGACACAGMTAGGGGGAGGTGCCTTGTCAGGATGCCAGCACCATGCTGTTTGAACTTTTCTGCCACCAGAATGGTGAGCAAAATAAACCTCTGATCTTTATGCATTAGCCAGCATCAAGTATTTTGTTACAGCAACACGAAATGGACTAAGATAAGCAGTAAAGAAATAGAAGAATAGAAAGATCAAGTGACTCTCAAACCACAGTGTTAGAAAGGAGGAACCAGGACCTGACCCAGGCCAGAATGAAACATTATTCTTTCCCTCCAAAGAATAATTATTTATATATTTGGGAATAGCAGGACATTGCAATGAGAATGTACTTACCATAGTAAACTATGGGTGCATTTCCCAACRTTATTAACATGGCCCAGAGCAGTCCCGACACAAGGGTTGGTTTAGGGGAAATCAAAATTGATAGAAACAAGATCATTGAGCCTAGAGAAGAGAAAACCTGGGGCTT